CCAGAGTGTTGTTCAGCATGGGGGTAAATAGAAAATGAAGGCTAATCATGTTTTGGGTGTACTATTCCTTTAAGGACCAGCATCAAAAACCCTATGGAATCGTTCTATGATCCCTTAAAAAAAAAAAATCTGTGTACAAATTAAAAATACACCATTTGATCAGTAAATGCTGTTTGCATGTGTTAAGATCCAGATGTTCTGCCGCGGGCTCAGGTGTTTGATGGAGAATGTTAGTGAAAAAAAGACCCAGGAACACAGCAGGCAGATGGTGAAAAGCAGAGCTGGATGACCAATCCATCTATCTAAACATTTTAACGTTTTTCTTTTAGGAAAACTTTTTGAAATCCTATCAATAAATCGACCTTTCATTTCACCCGACAGGTTGGGCAAGGAGAGTATTAACCATTGAATTAACAGAGATCCATGATAGTTGAATAAATAAATAACTTAAAATATACAAATTTAAAACATGCAAACATAACAATACAATATAAATAATAATGATAGAATTAATGATAGAATATATACAATAATAGCAAAATATTTTTTATATATAACGTAATGCTTATGTCAGTATGAAGAAGTGAAACTTTTTTAATCATACCCCTTTACTTCCTACAGTGCATAACATTAACAGGCTTCCCAATTCCTATTTCCGTATTTTCTGACTATAGAGTGCACCTCACTGCATTTAGAAAACTCAAAACGTACATACTGGGCTGTAAGGCGCTAATATATACTGAACTATCCCCCACCAAACCTCAAGGGGGAGCTCTACATATCACCACTAGTGTAATGACTAATAAGGATGCTAGCTCTCGTTAGTTTTTTGGCTCCATAAACATCATATACGTAGTTATAGGGGCCTTTTTCCTGGGTTGGCCCCTCTTGGACACCTTTGCTCTGGCAATCACTTTGGATGTCTGGGGCTTTGGGTCCCCCGGCACTCTCCTCGGCGCTCTGTGGGGGCGGGTCTTTGGCTCTTCACTACCACTATTGAGCTTTTTTCCTTTGGATAAACTTTACATGCACAAGTGCACTCTGACAAACAACTACAGGTGCTTGGTTCCACGTACTTAGAGATTCACTTCCATACAGAAAGCCAACATTCATATCTTCAGCTACCACAGTATTCATGTCAGATTAAAAAATACTACTTATACTTCAGCGATAGTATCAAGGTGTTACTTATTGTATCTCTTATACTGTATCTGTTGGTTGTGCTGTTCTTTTTACATCTCTCTTTGCAGGTGATGAAGCAGACTGAAGATGTTTTATCGTTATCTCCCCTTTATCTCCTCTTTCTTTCATATTTTCTCCTTTTTCTTGTTTTTCCTTTCCTGTTCTACTTACATTGCAGTGTCCATATAATCCATAATTCTCCCTGCATGAATTATAATAAAGCTATTTATAAGCATAAATCAGGCGGAACACTTTGCTGATAGCTGTACTGCTCCGCTTGTGAGAGCTAGTTCTGCTGGGCCCTTTTTGGCATCAAGACAATTATTCTTATTGTCACATTGCCAGACAGGACACTGTTAAAAAAAAAAAAAAAAAGTGGTAAAGTAAGTCCTGGTCATCTGCATTGGTTTCCTCTACGAACGTAATGAACTGAGGGTGATTAAGTCCCCTTGCTCATATAGGTTATGTTTTAGAACTGGATCCACGACATGATTAAGCTACAATACAGACCTACACAGAGATTCTGGATGAATGATGCTGCTCAGGTCTTTCCTTCTTTCACTTTAATTTGGTTTCTTTTAAGCAGCTCAACGTTTTTTCCAGTTAAATTTGGCAATCCATCAGTGGTGACTCTGGCAAGTTTACTCCAATGAACAAACACCTGTTCATTTAAGTCCTCTCCTCGTATTGTCCTGCGTTTTCCCCTTCAGCAGTTCCATGCTCAAAAGCTCCTCTGTTATCTCAAAACTTTTATTTATCCCTCTTTCATGTTGTTGCTTTCATTCAGTGCTAGTGAATATAAATTAAAGGACTGCACCTTTTTGTTTAACTCGCTGAGTATATGTTTGTCAATCAGTTCCACATGGCAAGTCAATGCCCTACGTGATAAGCTGATATTTTCAAACTTTACCTTTTGGACACAAGCTGTCTCTACCATGCATTCTTTCAAAATCTCTCCTGGGTACTTGACTCTTGAATCCCAGTTTGTTGGTGAAAAAACTTCTGTAAATTAGCTGCCAACCTCTGAGCAGTAGCCACCTGTTCTTATGTTGACTGCTTGCTAGCGTAGTAAGCGTGCTTGGAGGCAAAGTGACGGCTGATATTGAACTCTTTGAAAACTGCAACCGTTTCTTGGCGTATCAGACATACAGCTGTTGATCGGACTTCAGTAAAAAGATATTTTACCGTCCACTTTTTTAAAAACACTTGGCACTCAGTGTCCGCACATTTTTACTGAAGGGCGGAAATAGACAATTGTCTTGACTAGTGTGCTATCTATTGGGGAAATGAGGGTATTGCAGGGAAAAAGGAAATTACCAAGATTTTTGACCGCCGACCATGGAGGCATAGTTTGCCCACGTCTGGTGTCTTCATCATGTCTGTATACTTTACTGTAGAGCCTTTAAAATGACTACATCTCTTATGTATTCCTCACTCAATACAAATCTTAAAATCATCAGATGTTAAAGTTATAAAACACATAAACACAAAACAATTGACTTACTGAAGTATAGCAATTCAAAGAGGTCAAGTGATGGAAAATTTGAGAAAAAAAAGCTGAGACATTAGATACTGTCATATTATTGTATAACAGATCAGTTTAACCGGTCAGATCAGATGCTGTTTGGTGACATGGAGCAAGAACTCCAACCCATAGTTTACTTATCGGTAGATTTCCAGAAAGACGTCTGAAAGGAAGGATAGGGTTGGGCTTTTAGGGCACAAATGTTAAATCTATAATGTGTTTTCCTATGCCTCTGTGTAGATGACACTGGGAACACCAGCTATCGGCCTCCACCGCGCACCAAGGAGGTCCTCATCAACCAGCAGGTGATCAAGCTCAAGTACTGCTTTACCTGCAAGATGTTCCGGCCTCCTCGCACATCCCACTGCAGCCTGTGCGACAACTGTGTGGGTGAGCTGTGGAGACTCACACTTTGTGACATTTAGCTGTCATCAATAATGGAAGAGGATTCACAGTCCCATACCTTCTATGCTGAAACAGTATTCTTTAATACTGTGGCTAGAACAGAGAAGTTCTAATACTTTGTTTTAAAATGTCTTTATCTTGCAGAGCGGTTTGACCATCATTGCCCCTGGGTGGGGAACTGTGTCGGGAAACGCAACTACCGTTTTTTCTACACTTTCATTGTTTCGCTGTCCTTCCTGACTGCATTCATCTTTGGCTGTGTGACCACACATCTGGCTTTAAGTACGCAACATTGTTTTAGCATTCTGCTTAGTTGGGTTGCTGTTTGTAATCTTGCTGCTGATTTGCACTTACGCCCTGTTGTATATCTTGGGGATAAACGTGCCAAACTTGAATTTGTGATTAAAGTCGGGCATACACTGTAAGATTTTTGGCCCTTTTCGGGCTGATTTTCCAGTCGTGCGAGAATTTTTCTATCAGGCCGACTTTCAGCCCGATCCTGCGTCATGTATTGTGTACTGTTCAGGGAGTAAAGAGGGGCGATCAGCCTCTCAAGACCACCTCCAGATCAGGAATCGTAAGGTCGGGAGAAAATCAAACATTCAGTCAAACACTCACCTGGTCTATGAACATACTTTGGATCCTTGAATTAACTTGAGAGTTTTGCTTATTATAACTGGTCTCTTAACTGGTCCTAATCAAATCTTTTTGATTCCCCTTAAGGTTATAATATAAAAAAAACTCTTCTTTTGTTTTTTTTTTTCTAGGGGCCCAGGGAGGTAAAGGCCTGGTGTTTGCCCTTCAGGAGAGTCCTGGCAGATATCCTTGATATCTATGTTTCATTTTCACTGTGCTTCATATTGAGGCAAATCTAAGCTTTTGTTTTGGTGCAGGTTCAAAAAGAATACAATGGTTTAAGTGATTGTAAATGACAAACAACAGTTGGAAAATGGTCTCACAATTTAGAGGAATTTTGATGTTTGCTAATTTCATCTGTTAGAAAGTAAACCAACGTTAATGCTGTTTCTAGATCATATAGATTATAACAATATTAATTGTCTCAAAAGCAAATTACAAATAAAACCATTACTATTTCAATAAGTCATTTAGTTTTCATACTTGGCATTGTACCAAAGAAAAAAAAAACTCACATTAATATAAGTTAAACCTTTACTGAGGCTTTCCTTGACCCCTTTCTTTACTGCAGTAGAGCTGGCTATATGTTTCTTCTCAGTCTGGTCCATCTTGGGCCTCTCGGGCTTCCATACCTACCTTGTCGCTTCCAATCTGACCACCAATGAAGATGTAAGTACTCAATACACGACGGTGCCAGAAACCAATCAAACGTATAGTAAGTTATCACACCAGTATATGTATATAAATGTCAACAACAAAAAACATTATAAAAACACTTTATAAAAACAAAACATAATTTCATGTACAGGTTTACTTTTTATGCATAAATCTTGCCCTTCTGAGGCTGTGAAGGTGGATCTGTGTTTTGCATGGTCCAATATTGTTTCACAAACCTAAAAATATAATGTACCAATTTAAAGCTGGTCTGTGATGGAATGGAAATTTGATAAAAGAAAATATTAATAATTAAATAACATAAAATGTTTTTCTTTGATTGCTTTTTTCTTCTCTACTTCATTTCTTTAACATTTCCTTCCTTCCTTCCTTCCTTCCTTCCTTCCTTCCTTCCTTCCTTCCTTCCTTCCTTCCTTCCTTCCTTCCTTCCTTCCTTCCTTCCTTCCTTCCTTCCTTCCTTCATGTTTAAGGTTAATGTAAATTAAACCTATTTGTTCTCCAAGAGAAACATAGTTGGTAGAATATTTGCTTTTAAAGTTCAACCATGAAAGTTTGTGCAAATAATATAATTATAAAATCTGAAAAACCATTGAAGCCTCATATCCTTAGAACAAATATATAGTTTTTGGCAGCAGGATGGTTAAGAAAATTATCATGAATATGTGAGTTTATTTTAAATCTTTTTTTTTTTTTATTACCATCCCTAATAGAAACTCTTAAGACATGTAAGATGTTAGGGTGTGAGTGTTTTTTTTTTTATTATGTAATGACAACTATAATAATTGCTCACAATTAAATGCCACTTTGCAAACATGAAATGTATTTTTCAGATCAAAGGCTCCTGGTCAGGGAAGAGTGGAGATGGTGTAACCAACCCCTACAGTCAGAAAAACATCTTTATCAACTGTTGTTCGGTTCTCTGTGCACCTATGCCACCCAGGTTAGTCTCTAAAGCCTTAAGGATCGATAAAACATTATTATTTTTCTTATACCCTCATTTTATTTTAAGCTTTGCAAACTACCAACATGTTTGAAACTACATTTAAGCTTTTTGTGCTTTGCTATTTGCTCCTTTGTAGACAACAACCCCACCAGTGTTGAGTCAGGCAGTTCATCTGACATCAAGATAAATGTTCTGCTGTATATAGAAAAGGTTAAAGCTACAGTGTGTAATATTTACAGGGATATACAGTCAGAAATGTAATATATTATACATAACTATGTTATTTATCATCATCTACGAGCTCAGCCTCTTAACCTTAATATTTGCGTTGCCTTAGAATTTGTTATTTATAATTACATAGGAGCGGGTCTCGCAGCCATGGAGGCAGACATCTTTGCGCTACGGCAGCGCAGAGCCAACAAACTAGCGATTGCGAGATCGCCCATTACGCTCGAAAGTAACTACGGCAAGTTGAGAGAGATGAACTGAGACGGTACTGAAATCTATACCCTACACAGACTAATGAAATACTATCTGTAAAATTATCTATGTAAACAAACCTCATCACTTGAGAAGGTAGGTGATGCGGACGTCGTGGAAGAAATTTTGTCCCGTAACGCTCGCCGTAATGTTGGGGGGCAGAAGCGGTGGGGGGGGAGATGTTCATGTTGCTGCGGTCTGCAGTCTGGACGTTAGATGTCGCTGAAAATTACACACTGTAGCTTTAAATAACAACCTTGGAGTTAAACACCAAATATTTTAAATGTGATCTCATGCTAACTCCAAAAGAGGTTAAAAACTGGCGCCCGAGGAGAGTGATTTTCTCCTCTCGAAGCGGCATTTTCTTGTGTAAGTGTGATTTTGATGCTGTGGTAGATCAGCCAATAACCTCACTGACCTAAAGCTCTGATGTTAACTGTTCTCCATGTGCAGCTCCACCAGTGTCCCTATAAAGGAAGCACACTATAGGGGCACTTTGCTTCAAAGGGGTGTATGTTGTTAACCAGAGTTTATTTTCTTTCTGCCTTTAAAGCTTGATCGACAGACGAGGCTTTCTGCCCCCCAATGAGTCGGCCCAGACTAGTGACGCGGACATCGAGCCGCCCCGTCTAAATCATAAAAACGAGATGAACGTGGTAGGAGCATCCCTCCATCTTGTGTTTGACTTGCAGGCATCCTCCTCTGACTCTCCCCTCCTCCTGAATCAATCCAGAACCGTAGCCCTGCCTGCCGGAGGCCCTGTTGCCTCCTGTAGTCCCAGAACAGTCTCTCTCTGCTTGCCTGTGTTCTTGCAAAGTTTGACCCGTCTGTGCTACATCCAGAATGCTGCTACGCTGATCATGCTGGGTGGGGTAAAGTGCCTCTGATTCTTAAAGGAGAAGTCCGGTCACATTCAGAATTCAAACTTCTGAAATTAATATAAAATAATTACACACTGTTCAATAAATGACAGGTGTTTTTAATTTAGAGTAATTTTCATTTGAATGTGCTTTACTGGAGGCATCCATGTTTATCAAAGAACTCTACTGCCACCTACTGGTTTGTGACGTCACGGTGCGGTATCAGCTGTTGATCAAGTCCCAGTGCTGTATCTGGTGTTTGTCACAACGCGCTATTATCCAAGTCATCTTGAAAACATTCTTCTTCCAAATGTTGGCTACATATTATGTGTTTTTTCTCTGGCAAGAAGTTCGACGGCAAATCCTCCCTCTTCAAGTTGAAGCAGTTGAAACATCCAACAACGAACCCGTCCGTGGAGGATCAGAAATCGGAAAGGTGAGATAACTCTTTTTTTTTTTCACTATTACCCGATGTATTGGGTAAGATCCCACGTGCATGGCAAGATCCCATGCACGTGGAATTTTGCCATGCCCACGTGAAAGGCAAGATCTAATCTGCCATGCACGTGGGCATGGCAGTTGCATTGTCAGGCATTGTCAGTTTCACTATAGCTCTGGTGAATTTCAATGGTGAAGTCCTCTGGAAATCTTCAATAATTGTTGTTGATTGCAGATGTGTCTAGTAGTTACCATTGATTTTGCTTGTAAAGCGGGGAGAATGGCGCTAGGCTTACCGCACCGTGAGGTCACTGCTGGAAGATGGCAGGAGGGAGGGGTTACTATATTTGGGCAAAAATAGCCGCTCCCAGACTCAGTGATCACAATGAAAATTATTATCTTACTGATTAACACTAAATTCATTAAATCACAGTGAACGTATTAGTTTTAGGTATAGATAATGATCTATTGATCATTCCTTGCTGACCAGACTTTTCCTTCAAACCCTCAGACTCAATATTCTTATAAATGCAACAATAGATTTTCAGCAACAAGGTAAGGTCTTCTTTCTTTTAAAGCTTTCTTTTTTTTTTTTTTAGGATTTATTTAGTCATTTAGTCACCGATGAATGTTCATCATCATGATAAATATTATCATAAATCCTGGCTGCATTGCTTTCTTAAATAGAAAATGCTATCATAACTAACTTGGACTTGTGTCAACAAGAAATCACCCTTTTCAAAATGTATTTTAATTTACTAACTGATCTACCAATCACCAAAATGTGTGGTCCCATGTGTGAAATGAGGTACATTGAATACATAGATAGCAATAAATAATCTAAATAAATGAAAACAGGTGAAAGTCAGGGCAAAGTCAGTGTCTTCAATGATTAAGATCCATTGACTTTGAAGCACCAGTGAACTACAGCGAGGTGAATATTTACAAATGAAGAAAAAACCTAAGAAAATATGGTTTTAACTAATGAAGAGTTGATTTTGAACTATTCCTCTTAGTGTTTTTTTTTTATTTCTGAAAAATCTAAGCTGAAAAAATATATAAAAGTGTACCTGATGGTTTAAAGCCAGTCAGCTGCACCTCCTGTAAATAAACAAAACAAACATACACATATTAAATATTAATATTTACCCTCTAAAACTAACAGAACATGTAGACATTATTTGGTTGACTCTTTCGTTGCTGTGGGAGGGATTCTTGATAAAAAAAAATCAATACCATTTTCCTTTACATGGTGACATATTTGTAAAAGGATTCTATTTTATTGGATGGGTGTGTGGAAGAAAATAAAAACATAATTTCTGCCAATTCCAAGCATACATTTCTGCCTATTTTTCTTGTTTTAAGCTTCTGATACCTCAGAAACACAATAATTAGTTCCCTGATCAGCAGCTCCTATAGCATAAAGTCTGCTACAGAGTTGATGTGGTTTTTGCTTCAAAAAAGTAAAAAAGCAATCCACTGGACCAAGTTTGAAGACGTTTCTTTTCCCATTCAGGAAGTTTTTTTCAATTCAAAATGTCAGAAATAGCGTTGAGTTCAAGGCTTTATACCAGAGGTCACGGATTAGCAGACCAGGGTCTGGATCCGGACCCACCTGCTGGCTAATCCNTCACTATAGCTCTGGTGAATTTCAATGGTGAAGTCCTCTGGAAATCTTCAATAATTGTTGTTGATTGCAGATGTGTCTAGTAGTTCCTATTGATTCTGCTTGTAAAGCGGGGAGAATGGCGCTAGGCTTACCGCACCGTGACGTCACTGCCGGAAGATGGCAGAAGTGAGTTGTTACTATATTTGGGCAAAAATGGCCGCTCCCAGACTCAGTGATCACAAACGAAGATTATTGTTTTAATTTTTTTTTACTGATTACCGCTAAATTCATTAAATCATCACAAACTAATTAGTTTTAGGTATAAATAATGATCCATTGATTATTCCTTTGCTGACTGGACTTCTCCTTTAATGAGGCCTAAATAGAAAGGCTCTTTTTGTCTTTTAATGAATGCACAGAAATCCCTGTTTGCCATTATCACTTTGTGTAATGGTTGTATTATGTGTTTGATGCCTCAATGTTTGCTTTGACTATAAATATAATCAGAAAGCTCAGGCAGTGCAAGAGGGGAAGAATTTTCACCAGTCCTCCTCGTCTTTTTCAATATTGCTCTTGTTGCTGGTGATGCACTGCAAAAAAATTAATATAAATCCGTAATTTTTTCTTTATCTGAGGAGGTAAGTGGGACACTTTGCTAATGGAACAAGACAATTTATATTTAGAATAAGAAAATACAATTCCATTGTCAAGTGCATATTATCTAAATATCTTAAGAATAAAACAGCTAATGCTATTAGCAAATCGTCTTATTTACCTACTAGAATTAAGGGTAAACACATCTTGATATTTTTTGCAGTGTGGATATGAAAAGATACACTGCATAAACTATCTAAAATTAAGTAGAACTTTCTTAAAATAAGTCTATTCAATCTTAATTTGAGAAGGTATATAAGATGATCCGCCAATGAAATGAGAATTTTTACACTTAAATAATAACCAGATATTACACTGGAAAAAAAAACAAAATCTAGATAAGTCATTTTTTTCTTAAAATAAGTGCATTTGTTCTTGGATTGAGGAGGTAAAAGAGACATTTTGCCAATGGAACAAGACAATGTACACTTAAAAAAAAAAAAAAGTGCATTTTAACTAATGATCTTATTTTAAGAGTAAAAATACTCATTCCATTGGTAACTCTCATTTACCTACTCAAATTAAGGGTAAATACACTTAATGTAAGAAATTTTTACTTATTTCTGGATCGTTTTGCCAGTGTATAGACATGTAATAAGTCAATACAATTTGTTTTATTATTTCAAATGTAAATTGTCTTATTCCACTGGCAAAGAGTCTCACTTACCTGCTTAATTTAAGAAAAAATGCTTTTATTTTAAGAAAAATTGTCTTACTTAGATGAACATTTTTTGCTGTGTACATAGAACTAGTAGAGAATGTCTCGTTTTCAGCAGTATCTGCACCTGTAGGTGTGGTTTCAGTCCAAAGCGTCAGTACTCTGATATCAGGTAGCTGCTATGTGGCACACAGACACACAAGATTCTGTGGCAAGATTTGAAAACTGTTACCATCTGATCTGTGTTAAAAAGAACTGGAAAAATGGACTTTCTGATGGAAGGTCAGACACAGTTCAGGGGTGTGAATGTAAGCCGGTGTTCTGTCAGATGAGCATACCCCGTCAGACCAGCATACCTATAATCAATAGCATGCGCAAGACGTCAGATTTGCTTTTATCCCTTTAGTTATGTACAAAAAAATAATGTATGGTTAGATAGCCATATGCTTCAAAAACACCAAAAAGTAAGTCATTAAATTGATTTCTTGTACATGACTGAAGGGATACACACCTGTTTAGGTGATTTAAAGTTTATTTTTCATGCAAACCTAAAGGGATAAACGTATATTGATTATGGGTATGCTGGTCTGACTGGGTATGCTCATCTGACAGAACACCGGTTAATCAGTTATTTATTTATTTATCTCATTAGCTTTGAAAAAAATGTCCGTTTTGAGACACCTCAATCTTTATTTTGTTTTAATGGATTAATTTATGTTTCATGCTTTTTTATTGATCCATATAAGTGTTTGAAACTGTACAAACAAATCTGTTATAAACATTTTGTTCATTGTATCCTTTCTGTAAATTAATTTCTCATTGTTTAGTTCATCCATCCTCATCGTTTCCATCCTGAATAACATCTGCACCTTTCACACGTGGAAGGATAAAATCCCAGAGCTTCAGTTTGGTCTCATTATGCGTGTATTCAGCTGAGCCCAGACTCACTCTGCTCTATATGGTGTGTCTCTATGCCTGTGTCCCATCACTATCATCAGGAGGAGAAATGTCAGGACTTTGCAATGGTCTGCGCTGGCTAAAAAGCTGCTTTTAGTGCAGGAATGATGAGGCCTGAGCATGGTAAGCATGTTTAGACCAGAGGGAGGGGGAGTATTTTGCTTTCGTCTCCCTGCCTGTCCTGCATGCTTGTGCACCAGCAACGCCGTGATGCATGAATAATAGCATTGAGTTTCAGCACTTTATTTTGCACAGCAATGACATACAAAACTACTTGCTTCCTCACCATTTTCTTCTGTTATTCAATCAATATCAACCAAAGATAAGCTGATGATTCAATATGTAAAAACATCTAAACCATCTGGAAAGTCAGAAATCTGCTGTGATTAACCATATTTTTTTTTTCTTCTGAGTTCCTCACCCGAGCCTGATTGTGACTTTAACTAACCTGAAATAGGCTAAACGATATGAAAAAGTAGGACCTCAGAAAATTATACAAGACAAAAAACTGTCACAATGACATAACTGACATCCGTTGTCCACTTACAGACCAAACTGATACATTTTTTCTGAGAAACAGAATACTGGTGGACATTTCTCAGCTTTCAATTCAATTCAGCTTCTTTCTATAGCGCAAATTCAGATCACATGTCATCTCAAGGCACTTTCCAGTTCACTAGATCATCCAGTCAAAGTGATTCAAAGTTTTCTATCTAAGGAAAACCAGTTGATTGCATTGACTCATTGACTCAAAGGCAATCCCTCACACTAAGCATGCTTGTGGAGACAGTGGAGAGGAAAATTTCCCCTTAAACAGGAAGAGCAGAACCAGGCTCAGTGTGAGCGGCCATCTGCTGAGGCCGACTGGGGTTCAAGGAGACAGAAGCAGAGATAGAAATGTACAAATGTCTTAATATACACTGGAAAAAATTGAAATCTAGATAAGTAATTTTTTCTTAAAATAAGTGCATTTGTTCTTGAATTGAGGAGGTAAAAGACATTTTGCCAATGGATCAAGACAATTTACACTTAAAATAAGAAAACACAATTGCATTGTCTTATTTCAAGTGCATATTCTCTAATTATCTTATTTTAAGAGTAAAAATACTCATTCCATTGGCAAACTATCTCATTTACCTACTTAGAATAAGGATAAATACAATTAATTTAAGAATTTTTTACATATTTCTAGATCGTTTTTTTGCAGTGTAGGTGTATTAAACCTTAATTTTAGTAGGTAAACGAGATAATCTACCAATGGAAAGAGCATTTTTAAACTTAAAATAAGAAAATTAGATATTATGAATTTGAAATAAGAAAAAACATTTTTTTTTCTTATTTTAAATGTAAATTGTCTTATCCCATTGGCAAAGTGTCACCTTTACCAGCTTAATTCAAGAAAAAAAAACTTATTTTAAGAAAAAAAAAATGACCTACATTTTTTGCGGTTGCTTAAAACAAAACAGTATTTCAGAAAAAGCCTTACAGAGAGCCATACATGGTGGTGGTGGTTCATGGTCTGGGGCTGCTTTAATGCTGCTAGACCTGGACAACATAATGAAACATTCTACTTTCTACCATAAGGTTCTTCAGGAGAATGTTGGGCCATTAGTTAATGTATTTTTCTACAAGCTCCTTTCTAGAGTTCTACTAGTTGTAGCTGGAAAAATTTAACTTTTGCTGCTCGATGCGCCGAAACAACCAATCAGAGAAGCTGATCTGGGAGCTGGCAGAGAGACAGACACACCACTGCTGATCCAGATTGCCATGATCACTCCTCTGAAACAGTTTATTAACGCCTAAATGAACTAATGTCGAAACCTGCTGGCAAAATATGTCCGCTCTTATTATTCTGGTGCCTGCAGTTTCTACCACGAAAAACGTACTGGAAACCCCACCCCCCAGGAGGTGACCTGGCCTGAGGCACCCTGAGCCTCTCAGGGGTATGTGGGGTCTGAGCAGCAAAATAATATTTTAAGGCAGGATCATAATCTTGATGAAGTGACTGAGCAGACAATGTTTTAAGGTGGAATTTTTCACTTGAAAAAACATATTAAAACTACTTTTTGCCAGCTTATCACAGCAAATATAGCAAAGCCGCTCTCTGCCATTGAACACAGGAGCAGCAGACACGTCTGGACACACTTTACTGGACGAGCTGCAGGAGCATCAAAGATGCCCTTAAGGCCCGTCTGACCTTTATGTGGACAAGCATAAAAAATGAAAAACTTTTTTTCATTAGGTGTGAATGTAGTATTAGACCTGCGGTCACTCTGGACGAGACAGAAAGCTGAACGAAGGAATCTGTTGGTAGAACAGCTATTAGCTGCTCCCCCTGTAGCTTTCAGTGAAACTGTCAAAACAGCTTCTCCTGTGCTGATCACAAAAGATCTTTTAATTATCAGGCTCCTCTCCTGTGGAACCAACTACCAGTTTTAGTCCGTGAGGCAGACACCCTGTCTACTTTTAAAGCTAGGCTTAAAAATTTCCTTTTTGATAAAGCTTATAGTTAGAGTGGCTCAGGTTATCCTGAGCTATCTCTATAGTTATGCTGCTATAGG